CATTAAAATAATATAATAGATGTTCACCTATATTTTAAGAATTATGTAAAGTTATATCTTACCTCTTTAAATATATTTTGTCTGACAAGTAACTCACAGAAAGCCAACATAACACGATTTTTATTTTCTCTAAAGCAATTATCAGCCTGCATGTAAAGAATTTCAGGTAAAAAGCTACCCTGTAGATAAAGAATTGATAACAAAATTTATATTGATTCAAATTTATATCAAGAATTGTTTTAACATTTTTTTTTTAAATCTTCAACAAATGTAAGTGCCAACAGCATATTTTTTTAAAACCATCAGTATTACCTGTGCTCAGAACCAAGTGTTTGGGTTGTGATTTTTCTATAATATGAATATTGAAAAATAAAAAATGCAAACTTATATGATTTTTACAGTAGCACATATAAATAAAAAAAAATATGAAATGCAAATTATAATGTTCACATCTTCTTGATAAATATATCATAGTAACACATGACTTACCATTAATACACTTGATTCATGCAGCTCTTTCAATATGGTATTCATGATAAGATTGGAATCATGGCTGTATTCATTTATGTCAATATATGTTGTAAATCTGTTTAGACCATGATTTATTATTCCTTGTACATGTGTCTGAAGGAGATTAGAACCATCTAAAGCCTGAAGAAAAAATAAAGAATACATACAAAAAAATTAAAGACACTATGTGTTTTAATGTGTAATTTGTTAAAACATTTTTGTTCTGTTGTATGATACAACTATTTACGTATTTAAATTTTAACAAAGCCCATTTTCTTTTAAGAGGTCAAATTTGGATGCAAAATATCAGAAACCAGGACTTATTCGGTGTGAGTCAAGGCTTCGTGTTGAAGGCCGTAATTTGACCTATAATGGTTTACTTTTACAAACTGTGACTTGGATGAAGAGTTGTCTCATTGACACTCATACCACGTCTTCTTATATCTACTTATAATTTGGTATGCCAGAATGCGCTATGTCTACACAAGACTTACTGATTTGGTTCCAATCAAGACATTTGCATAGCCAAATCAAACTTTTAGACATTAAACTTAATTAGTCAATGAAAATATGGTGATATATATAACTAAAAGTATATGTCACAAAAACCAACCCTACCTTTGAACGTCTTCCTGTAAAATGTGGGAGATCTGTTTTTGCTAAAAAAAAATGTAATATATAATAATGAGCTGATTATAAAATTCATTGAGATTTCAAATCACATTAAAGACACTTACAAAGGTCTGCATGAGACTGTTTAGCAAAAAGTATGTTTAGCTTAAGCAGTTGTTATTTGAAGTCTTGAATATTAAAGGTGCAAGTCAACTGAAATTAATCCAAAGAAAAACAAGCAAAACAATTAACATTATTAAGTTTGCTCAAACACATTTGAGTTTAAGTATCATTTTTAATTTTTAATAGAAGAAAATGATTATATAACAATTGTGATAATTTATTTATGTGGTTTATGATAGTAGTCTGAGTATTTTTACATTTTACAGTTAATTTTGTACTTAACCACTGAAGTGCTCAGTGTCTATTTATTATATATTACTAAATACCTAAAATATTGGTTGTCAATATTAATGATAAAGATCTTGTTTCAAATCATCAATGAATTACTTCATGATGAGGCATGATACTCTTGTTATAGAAAAAAGGTAAGAATTAAATTAATAGTCCTTACATTGATCCATGCCATCTATAATAATACTCATGTAGTGTCGTTTGTTCTCTTCTGCATTCTTTCTTTTAGTTCTGTAATATGCTCTTTCTGCCCTGAAGTACAAGGGTATATTGTTTAATGACTATTTACAATTGTTAGTGCCATAATAAACATTTTGTGTTTTTTTCAAAACATACTATTAAAGAACCTTTGTGAGCACGCTCACATACCCCACACCCCACATTGTCACTGGACAAACAAAATCTCACCAGATTCCTAAGTTCAAAAACTCTACAAAAGTCAACTAATTACAATTTTCTTGTGGATATGGACATGCACATATTATGGCTTTATTAACTATAAAGTTTCATGAAATTATGTTGTGTAGTTTCAGAGGTGTTGCGAATATAAACTGCCGCAGTAGTATATTTAGGCAAAAATTCTAAGTTCAAAGGGCATAACTCCTAGAAAAAAATCAATAGTAATTTCCTGTAGATATGCACTTCTACATAGTATGTCCTTATTATGTACAAAGTAATATGAAATTCTGTCTTGTAGTTTCAGAGAAGTTGCGATGACAAACTGTTGCAGTAGTATAATTAGGCCAAAATTCTAAATCCAAAGGAGCATAACTCCTGAAAATAACTGAATCGTAATTTTCTGTGAAAACGCACATCTACGCAGTTAGTCCTTATTGTCTACAAAATTTCTTGAAATTCTGTTGTGTGGTTTCAGAGGCGTTACGATGAGAAACTATTACAGTAGTATATTTAGGCCAAAATTCTAAGTTAAAGGGGCATTTCTCCTAGAAAAAAATTGAATCATTAGTTCCTGTCGATAAGCACATCTACATAGTATGTCCTTATTATCTACAACGTTTCATGAAATTCTGTTGTGCAGTTTCAGAGAAGTTGCGATGATAAGAACAGGACGTACAGACGGACGAGTCAAAAACATTATACCCTCCGCAACTTTGTTGCGGTGAAAAAAGTTGCGGGGGGGTATAATTACATGAAGAATGCAAAGTAAAATGGATTCGAGGTGGTCTTTAAGTGAAACAGGAACATGGCAGGAATATTTACAATCAAACAACATGTAAATTGTCAAAAAATGTGAATTTTATTTGGTATGTTTGCTTTTTTTTGTTGGTATCTCTATAAATAGCACATTGTTGCTCATTTTAATTCTTTAATATGTAATGATATATTCTGCCAAATATAATCACCAATTAAAAATATTTCTTAATTCAACAGCTCTTTCAACATGTTCAAGAGAATAATTCTTTGTTTCCTCATTCACATCTTTAAATAAATTATACATCGAGTACGTTGCTTATATTTTGGTAGCAGTATTTTAGTTTTGCCTTGTTAAATATTTGCTCCAATTACCAACATTACATTTGTTCAAATTAGGGGGGAAAGACTGAGAAATCAGAAACTTACATCTGTCTTGAATTGTGCACCATTATGCTTTTTTTAATTGCTTCTCTCTCTGCTTGGTTCCTTGTTTTCTCAAGTCTTGTTGTCAAAGTTGTACAAGTTTGGCATCTTGAAAATGAATTAGTCTAAAAAAAAAATTTAGGATAAATTAAAACTAATTGCAGAAATGTTATGTATGAAATGCAAGTTGACAAAACTGTGAAGGTGGCAGAATCACAATGGTAATAGCTGTAATCACTACACTTTAACAAAACCAAAATAATAACAGCAGCAGATAAAATGTTAAGTTGATTTCTATAAAAGGCATTTATGGGAAAATGGTTCCATTCTTATATTGAACATAATTCTTTTCGTAGTCATCGGTTGTTGTTGGTCATGTTACATGAATTTTGAAGATACTGTTACTTATTATCGCTTCTATCCACTAGATACTGTTACAATCGGTAGAATTTTTTAAACACATTTCAAATAAAACATAAATAGGCTATTTCTACATATACCTTTCATAAAAAGTAATTTCTTTCTGACATCTGCATATGTTTACGCATTACGTTTTGTTTGAATGTATTATGTATAATGCATCTAATTATACTGATTAATTCAACAGTTAAATGTCAATAATAAGACAATTGATTGAAAACAACCAATAGTCGATGTATTTTCCCTCTCCTTGAAAAACAAAATCAGATACATCATGTGTACATTATAACTCATAATTGAAAAAAAAGGTAACAAAATATCATATTTACCTTTTTAATTTTTAAAATTCTGAATTCGTTCTTCCACATCTGATAAAAAGTTGCTTTTGAAACGGAAATCGTACGTTTCTCTGTAATTTCATTAACATGCAGATTGTAAACATCAATTTTTTTACTTTTATATGGGAGCATGGTAATATCTCTATCAGGCATACAATCTCCTCTGTATTTTGCATAATCTTGCAACCACAGCACTGTATCTTCCTTTGCATTTGAGACAGGTCTTCCTTTGATATAGCCTGATGAAATTGCTCCATTACAAAATTTTTCAATCCATTTATAATAAAAGTTTTTATTCACTTTATATAAACTTCTAAAGCATTGTCCACACACTGTTTTTCCTTTATTGACAAAAAATAATGGCTTTTCAGCATCAACAACCCGACCAAAGAGCAGACAACAGCCGAAGGCCACCAATGGGTCTTCAATGCAGCGAGAAAATCCCGCACCCGGAGGTGGTCCTCAGCTGGCCCCTAAATAAAATTGTGTGCTAGTTCAGTGAAAATGGCCGTCACACTAAACTCCAAAACATATGAATGAACTAAAATTAAAAAAAACATACAAGACTAACAAAGGCCAGAGGCATATATACATGTATATAAATACATTTGGAATCTTGTCATTTTGTGTTGTATAGCCCTCTCTTGATTGCCTCTCGAGACTATATATTTACACATTTATTGACATAAAAGTAACCTACAAATAAGTCAGATAAGAAAAATCAAATGTCTATAAAATTTAGAAAGTGTGCAGCTGAACATTTACCAAGGAATTAGTAATTCACTATTGAATCATTGTAGGAACATATCAAAGAGAAGGATTTGAAAATTGAAAGCCTTCATTTACAACATAATATGGTTAACGATGCAGCAAATAGAGCTAGAAATGAAGTCAGAGAAATAGCAAAGGAATAGTCTTGCACTAATGCTTTACAGACAGGTATAAGAGCATGTCCAATGTGTTATTGCATATTTGAAACATCATATTCAATTTATTATTTTAAATATTGATTTAATCACTTTTGTACATGTAATTTTATAAGTAACATATGACAAAATTTGATATAACAATAATTAAAAAAAATATGAAGACAATTTATATATAAATATTATTTATTGTTCCAGAAAAGACCACACGAGATAACAGAAGACACAGAAGACATCAGGCCAGACACACAAACAAAGGTAATTATTATCAAATATAGTGTCATTAAAGTGTACATTAAAATCACCCATAGTTGTTGTCGGACTTGTGTTGTCCAGTCTTTAGTCTATGTAGACTAGTCTATCTTTTCATCATTATTTGGTTTTTACCATGATTTTGTCGTTTTCTTTTGACTATTAGCATGATTAGGTTTGATTGTCTTTATTTTCATTTACTGATCTTTTTTTATAATTAAAGATCTATTTTCCCTTTAACCATACAAACTATTGATTTGTTTATTTCATTTCTATAATTTCTATACATTAACTAAAAGACATATAAATAAATAGACCTGTAAATAAATCAAAATGAGAAAATGCAGATTTTTTAAAATAAAAGATCAAAATCTTTGTTAAATACTTTTCCTCTATCAAGTAAACAGTAATGAATCATCTGAATTAAAAAAAAAAACAATTAGGGTTGATGGTCATTACCAAACAAATTTTTCAAGTTTGAATGACTAATTTTCAGAAACCCTTCAAATGTATACTGAAAGGTTAAAGTCAATAGTATAGTAGAGAACCTGTTTTTGTGGTATAACATCTCCTTAAAAAACTCAAAGGATTGAGAGGTCTTAAGACTTAGTTGACAATACATAAAACTTCACCATTATAATTTGGATTCATCTATTCATTGCTGAAATTTATAATGGTCCCAAGTTTGAGGTTTGTTGTGTTATCTTCGATTTAATAACACAAACTACTAAAATTTTGTTTTATTCAGAAAATGAAAACAAATACAGATGCAGTTACAGTTAGCAAAGAAACAAATGATATATCACAAAATGAAGAAGTAAGTTTAATTTTAGAACTGAAATATGAAAGATTATTTAGAAAGATTGAAACATATTTTCAATTCCATAATATCATTTCAACTATACCTGTACTTGCCTATATTTTGAGCTGGTCAATGATTAGTTCACACAATGCTTTTTCAAAAATAGAATGATTTTTCATTAAATTCATATCCAGAGTAAATTGTGATCCATTTGATTTTCGAAATATAAACGGAACAAATAAATGAATTTGAATTTGAAAATATCTGTTTATTCCACCTGATAAAAAAAAATAGTAATTTGTTTAAAACATGTAGGGTGATTCATTCCTCATAAATATTGTATATATATTTTCAGATTGCTATGGTAGAATACAATAATGAAAATGTATATTTGGGTGTTCTACAAGATTCCATGCTAACCTTTACAAAACAACAACTAGGAAAATTGGGTGCAGACTTTGTCATAAAGGACTTGAATTTTTCTTTAAATAAGAAAGATCGACAGAAGATCAATTCAGCCTACATTATAGTGAACATCAAGTGCAAGATTGTCAAAAACAAATTTGCTATAAATGACGAGCAGAAGAAAGACTTAGAAAATGCTGTCAAAAATTATTTGGTGGGGAAAAATGCCGAAAACGTTGCAGATAAGGACAGTTTGAAAGATAATGGAGAATAATCATAATTTCAATGGACCATTTTTTCATTATGATGGGTATGCACATTGAATATGCATTATCCTGTTCAATATTTACTATTAATTTGTTGAATGTTATGTTAATTAGTTCTGTTTTTGTAATGTGACATATTGAATTTGTTTCTTGACCATTCAAAACGAGATAGATTTATTTGAAAAGAGTTTGCTTTGGCATTTGCGAGAAAGTGTATTGATATGCATATAAACCTTTTTTTTTATCTGTGATAATGTTTTTCTAATAAATTGTACATAATAGATTTCATATAAGATGGTGCTTTATTTTTAAATTTATGTTAATGTCCATACACACAATATTTCTTCTCTGCTTAATATCTGTTGTGATGAACCACACAAAATAAATATATTTTGAGACGGGGATATATATATATATATATTACCAACAAGTCTAAATTGAAATATATTATATGCATGTGATTTCCTACACGAAATACATTTATTTTGTGATTGCTTATAACTAGTGCAATGGACACCTCAAAATAAATTTATTTTGGGACAGTGATGTATATTTTTGGTAATCTACATAAAATAAATTTATTTTGAGATGCACATATCTTCGTTGAATTGACCTGCTCAAAAATAAATTTATTTTGTAATTTAGAAAATGCTGTAATGAATAGTACAAAATAAATTTATTTTGTGATGATGATATTTTTGTGGTAATGACTTGCTTAAATACATTTATTTCATGATTTTGAAAAACCTTTTGTAATGGACTGTACAAAATTATTTATCTTGAGGTTGTGATATGTTCATGATAATAATGAGCTCAAAATAAATTTATTTTGAGATAAGCATATACATATAGAATTTTGTATGTTTGTCGTTAATGCATCACGTAATATTGTTATAGTCTGATTCTATTCAAAATAAATTTATAACTATATGTAAATCATAAATTTGATAGAAGTTACATTTATGGTTAATGTTGCTGCCAACTACAGAATAAATTTATTCCGAAGTTGATAATCAAAGCCTATTGTATGGTTTCTGTTCTACTTTTTGTCTTAATAATAGGAGATAGGGTTCAGAATAAAATTATTCTGAAGTTAAAATTCACCAAGGTCTTAACTAGTGACAAAATCACAAACATTGGCTCATAATGTTAACAAAATAAGGTTTTCAATAAAAAAAAAGGATTATTGGAATGTTCCTCTTTTATTTTGGACTCAGTTTTAATGAACCATTGGAACAAAAGGAAAAACACACGAAAATATATAACGGAAGCTGTAACTTCAAGAGCCCAGATAATTTTTAATTGATTTACATTGTCATCCATTTCAGGTTCTAGCAAAGATATGACCGGAAACTTTGCCCTTCAAATATGTAAACCAAATGCTCCCAAGTGAAATTTAAACTAAGGAACTACTGGGAAAATTAAACTATATTTTTTAAATAAAAGGTAATAATTCATATTTGTAATTGATCTTTTATTTGTATAGTTGAAATAACATTCTCAGGATAAAAAGTAATTTATTTAGTTGTTTACATGCCATTTTATTGAGGGAATAAATCCTAAACGAACCTCAGGTAATGATAAACCACAGTATCATAAAGTATCTATCAAAGGATTTCCACTATTTTTTTTTTGCGGGAACTGCTTACTGATGTGTATGTTTGAGTAATATTATATTTCAGGACATTTGTTGTTGTCATTAGTAATTAATACTTGCAAAAAAATTGAATTCGCATAGCTTTGAAATAGAATATAAAAATAAGATAAAGACATTATCTTTAGATTATAACTATGTGTTTTTTTGTCAGCTTTAAGTATTATCCATCACTCCTCTTCCACCCAATTTATAATATAAACTCATACATAATCTGTATGGGAACTCAACTGCTTGGTCATTTTCATAGTAATAAAAATCTATAAAGGAAAAGAATGGCTAGTCCACCAAAAAACCGAAAAAAGAACCCCAAGTCTTAGAATAGAGTTTTCTGGGATAGATACAAAGAAGGCCGAGATTCTTGAGAAAATACTGGACATTAGGAATATGTTGACTCAAAGTTGGAACACACCTACAGGAAATTTGCAACTTTATTGGAGATGTGGTGTGGTCAGAAAGTAGTAAATGCATCTGATGAACAATCTTTACGTGTACCAGACCCATTACCAAGTACCTATGTTAAAGCTAGGAAAAATGATGTTTACCAAAATATATTCCTGTGTGCTGAGGACTCACTAAAACTTAACAAGGAAGTGGTGGAATGTCATACCAGATACTGCAAAGACAACCTAAACATAGAGAAATTACCAGCAAGAGGACATGTAATTATGACCAGAATGAAATGTGAATCCTCTTACACTTTTCTGTGGTCTTCTTCGCCATACATGCAAAGCAAGGAATACTTGGTGAATAACAAAGTGCAACATGGTCTGATCTGTGTTGCCATTGCATTATACCAAGTTTGTAGATGGTGTAGGATTTTGGAAGTTTAATTAGGAAAAACGAAATAAGTTCTTCAACTCATATGAAAACCACATCCAAACAGAATACCACAAGTCTACAACAACAGCCTTGCTTGAAGAATCAGCCTCGTATTATGATGACAAATGTGGAGAAATAGATATTCTAAATAGCGCAAGGCATGGCTGGTGTTAAAACGCTAAAGATGCAAGTATTGTTGCGATTTGTGAGAAAACCCACAAAGTTTTATCTTGTCAACATGTTACAAAAGCTGACGATGTTGTGTCTCAAAGACATGAACGTATCGGTACCGATAAAGTATATACATATTGGCTGAAAAGGAGGTTGCTGTAGGTGTCCATTGCCATGACAGGAATTTATCTATTAACAAATACATTCGTGAAGAAACTGATGCAATTAATCAAAACGATACATTGATTGCGTTAAAGTATTAAAAACAGCCCTGAAAAAAGTTGCACCTGGAACCGCACAATCTAAAAGAAAAACGTGGTCTTTTCAACTAAGTGACAAAGTGGAACCTGTCTCAACTCATATTCCATGGGCAATCAGAAATTGTAACAATGATCCAGAGAAATTTAAGTCATCAATTCTGAATGTAGTTGATCACTACAAAAACAGGTATGTATCGTGTGATCCTTCCTCTAGATGTAGATATGATAACAATTATGAACCATCATGGATAATTCTGACTGAAATTTGACTTGGAGTACTTTTACATTCCAACATTTTTAAGTATCCTCAGGATTATGTTTTAGGAAAAGACACATTTTATGTGAAAGTTTCAACAACGTTATAAACATATAAATCAGGACAAGCGTATTGCGTTTTGGTGAAAAACAGTACAGTGCACGTTCAAACTTGGCAGTTTGTCAATGGAATGAAATGGTGACAGGGACATCACTTCTATTTCAAATCAGAGAAATCCTAGAACGCCTTGAAGCATAAAATGCAAGAAAAATTAAAAACAAAAAACAGCTAAATTTCGAGAAATATATGGAAACCTTCCTTCAATGCTGTATATTCAAGGAAAGTACCTGGACGAATTACTTCTTTCATATTTATGATGTAATGTTTGAATTTATTTTATTTTATAGTTTGTCTTTTAATAACTGAACGATTTTAAGTGTATATTTCATACACATTGTCAGTCTGGATATAACAAATTACACTGCATCAAATGAATGGTTGGTAAAAGTCTCTTTCTTGCTACATTGATAAGCCATGAATTTTGAACATAAAAAAGGAATTTTGAACACTGATTATGATAACACACTGACAAGCTCCGCCTCATTTCCATATTGGTTTAATCACTTACCACCTGGTAATTTTTTTAGGTCAGACTCAATCTTTAAGTTTTGTAAACAGTTAATTGACAATATCAATGATAATTCATGTCTAACCAATAGCACCGACTACTGAGCTGGGGAGAAAAATATCAAAAACACTGATTTTTTAGCCAAACATCCGTACGGAAATAGCAATCCAGTATGACTGGTACTCATTTGTGTTTTAAAGCTCAAACACAGAATTAATCTTCATTAATTTAATGATTCCGAAACCTCATTCTTGATATTTCTTATTAGGAAAGCTCAAACAACGAAAAGCCACAGCGTTTCACATACTTTAATACTTTAGGACCTACGTTGTATAAGACCAACAAGTTACTAAATCCACCCTTGTCAACTTTATCAGAGGGAGCAGTAACCGCAATTTCTTAAACTTTTATATGGATAATTATCAATTGAAAATTTCAGAAAGTATGGTATAAATCATGTTGGTAACAAACACTGTGCTGTACATTGGTCAATGTTCACTGACTATTGAGCTGATGATAACCTTCACCTGGGGTTGGTAGTTCTCATTAATGCACATTTAAAAGTTTCTTGTGCTTTTTAGTGTTTAACGATTGGTCTAAATTCGAAACCTCTGTTTATTCTAACTTGTTTGAAAATCACAATACTAACACTTGATTTAAAATGCACGATATAGAAATGAATTAGGAAACCACTGTTTTCACCGAATAAAATCACGATACTATCCAATGTGATATATTCATAATTGATTGATTGATTGTTAGATTGATTGATAGTTGGTTGGTTGCTTAACGTCCAATGGCAACTATTTCATATAAAAATAGGAAGATGTGGTATGATTGCAAATGAGACAACTCTCCACAAGATACACTCTCTCTACACGACGCATCGTCCCAATTCTGATCGGACGTGGCTGCGTACTTGATACATCTCGTACAGCCACACAGACGCCCCAAGTCACCCATGGGAGTTAGTCATAATTAAAAGAACCGAGCAACGTTGGAACCCTTATGTTACTGGATCCAAATATCACATTGTTAAGAGTACACATTTAACATTGATGGTGCATTGTATTTCATTTCGATGACAATATTTATCTACAACTAATATCAATGTGTGGTAAGCATGACCGTGAAACAACACAAACTTTATTCAAAGTACAGGTATCCCTATGCAGCTGGTAAGAATTTATTCCCGATATAACAGTCACAATTTAATATAAATAAAAGTTTAAATGCATTTTGAGTGTCATAAAATTAG